CTTTCGCTGTGCTTCGAGAGCTCGACGAGGGCCACCGATCCGTCCAAATATCAGCCGAAGCGACGTCGATGCGGCCGAGCTCGAGACCTCTGAAGTTTGGACCCCCCGAACCGGCGGTCGATGCCCGCGCGGCCGATCGCGAGCGAGCAGACGATGAGGCCCAGCGGGTAGGACGCGCTCGCGAAGCTCAGCCCGAACTGCTTCAGGCACGCGCGCGTGCCCCCCAGGTTCATGAGCGACGCGGCCGTGCCCGCCGCCGCGTACAAATAGCCCGTGAGCGCGACCATCTCCTCGGTCGTCGACGTCTCGGACACGATGACGTTGTACTCGTACTCGAGCGTCGTCTTGACCATGATGATGAGGAACGTGTAGGCGCCGAGCATGAGCACGAGCGCGTCTTTCCACCAGGGGTCGTCGTCGGCCTCGACGGCGGCGCCCGCGGCCTTGTCGTGGCCGGACGCGCGGATGCGCGCGAGCCGCGCGGTCGCCGCGTTCGGCCAGAGCGACACGAGGAGCGCCGTGACCTGGGCCAGGATCAGCGCCGCGGCGCCGCCGAGCTGGGCCACCGTGCCCGCGAGCAGGCCCGCGAAGACCGCGCCGAGGGAGGACCCCAGCTGCACCAACCCGACGACGCGCCGCGCGTCCGTCGCGGAGAAGAGCTCCTGGGCCACGGCGCCGTTCTGCATCATCACCACGAGCGTCGCCAGGTCCTCGACGACGTAGAAGGCGCTGTAGACCACGGCGTCGACGAGCGGCGGCCGCGCGCCCCGCCCGCACCACGCCAATAACCCGTACAGCGCCCCGAGGATCGCCGCGCCGCTCCGCAGCACGCAGCCGTTGACCTGCGTCGCCCGCCGCCGCTTCGCGAAGGCGCTGAAGCGCGGCGTGAAGGCGATGATCGTCACGCCGCTCAGGAACATGGCGCGCGCCAGGCGCTCGGCTCCGAGCCGCGATATGTATATCGCCGGCGCCGCGTTGCGGCCGAAGACGAAGGCGACGTTCGCGAGGTTGCCGCAGACGACGAGGTTGAGCACGATGCGCGCCTCGATGTCGTCCTTGAAGCTGAAGTAGGACAGCGCGTGGCGCCGGAGGAAGGCGCCGGGGCCGCGGGCGGCGTCGGGTTTGGGCGACCGCTGGTGGGCGACGGGCAGCAGGGGCGTACTCTCCTTGCGCCGCCGGCCGCCGAGCTCGACGTGGCGCGACGCGGCGCGCATGGTGATTGGTGCTATGCCGCTTGCGCAGCCCACTTCACTTGCCCAGAGTCATGGCCATGCCTTGCTCGCCGGACCGGGCCTACTCCTTCGTCGTCGAGGCCGTCGTCGGCCGCGGCGCCTTCGGCGTCGTCCACATGGTCGAGGACGTCGAGCGCGGCGTGCTCGCGATGAAGTCGCTGACGCCGACGTCGCGGCAGCACCGACTCGAGCTCGAGGCGATCGCCAGTGCACGAGTGGCAGTTTCAGCCTCACCTTTGGCGCCCCGCGTCAGCCCGAGGAATCGCCCGCTGCCCCGGCGCATGCTCGGCCTCCTCGCCGTCGACGACGACGGCGCCGCCGGAGTAGCGTTCCGGAACTTACCCGTGGAGCTCGAGCGCGCTCGCGGCGTCGCCCGCGCGTCGAGCTCATGCGTCGGGCTTCGCCTCCGAAGACGCGCCGCGCGCGCGGCACGCGGCGGCCGCGCCTTCCTGCGCTTCGTTGAGCGCGGCGATGAGCGCGTCGCGCTCCGGGTGCGGCGGCTCCGGCTTGGACGGCGCGTGGCCCGCGTTCGTCGCCGCCGCGAAGGTCGGCGCGTCGATTTCGAGGTACGCGCCGAGCCGCTCGTGGCCGCCCCGCGTCGCGTCGATGAGGTCCTCCTGGTCGTAGTGGTCGCAGAGGACCGTCGCCGGGAGGGCCAAAACCTGGGCCGCGATGAGCCGCGCGGCCTTTGCCAGGAGCTCGAGCTCCGTCGCGCACGCGTTCGGGCCCGGCCCCCCGAAGTGGCGGTGGTCGCAGACGGACGCGGCGATGGCTGCGGCGTCGCGCGTGAGCACGACGACGCGCAGCTGGCCGTGCGCCCCCAGGGCCGTCGCGAGGAACCCCATCTCGGGCATCTGCTCGGGTTTGCGGGGGCCGCCGTAGTTCGGGTAGCTCTGCTCGCCGTCCGTGAATTTTCCGCAGTTTGGCGCTACTTTCTTTTGCAGCGAGGCCGAGCAGATGATCGTGATGTTGCTTCGGCGATATTCTTCGACGAGGTCCGGCTTCCGCCCTGTTCCCATGGTATTGAGCACGCGGAGCGCTCGCGACCCGGTGGCGGCCTCGCGCGCCGCCGCGGCCGCGGCCGCGCGCACCGCGAATCGCGCGGCGTCCGGCTTTTTCTTGATCTGCGCGATCACCCACTGCCACTCGAGGATCCCGACGTCGGAGCTTTTACACTCTCCCGCCTTTTTGCCCGGCCTGTGGCAGGGCGGAAAAAACTCGAGAACCAGTGGTGGCCCGTCCCCTCGACGCCGGCGATGAAGACGTAGGGCGCCAAGGGATCCTTCTTGCTCGCGGCGACGAAGAGGGACGCGGTCACGGTAACGACGAGAGCGCGCAGCATGGTCGGGTCACGTGGCGAGCCGGTCGCCGCGCAGATGCCGCCGGCGAGCGATCGCTAAGTGGGTTGCCGCAGAGGCGACGGGACTGTCGGCCTCGAGGCTGTGTGTGATGCGATGGTGGGCAGCCATGCTGTAGCTCGTCGACGACGGCGCCGCCGGAGAAGCGTTCCGGGACTTACTCGTCGAGCCCGAGCGCGCGCGCGGCGTCGCCTGTGTGTCGAGCTCAAGTGTCGAGCTTCGCCTCCGAAGACGCCGCGCCGCGCGCGCGGCACGCGGCAGCCGCGCCTTCCTGCGCTTCTTTGAGCGCGGCGACGAGCGCGTCGCGCTCCGGGTGCGGCGGCTCCTTTTTCTTTTTCGGCTTGTGGCCCTTGTTCGTCGCCGCCGCGAAGGTCGGCGCGTCGATTTCGAGGTAGGCGCCGAGCCGCGCGAGGCCGCCCCGCGTCGCGTCGGTGAGGTCCTCCTGGTCGTAGTGGTCGCAGAGGACCGTCGCCGGGAGGGCCGCGACCTGGGCCGCGATGAGGCGCGCGGCCTTTGACAGGAACTCCAGCTCCTTGGCGCAGCCGGCCGCGCCCGGCCCCCCGAAAGTCCTGCCCGAAGTGGCGGTGGTCGCAGACGGACGCGGCGATGGCCGCGGCGTCGCGCGTGAGGACGACGACGCGCAGCTGGCCGTGCGCCCCCAGGGCCGTCGCGAGGAACCCCATCTCGGGCATCTGCTCGGGTTTGTGGGGACCGCCGTAGTTCGGGTAGCTCTGCTCACCGTCCGCGAGGCTTTGGCAGTTTGGTCTTCCCCCTTTCCCTTGAAAATC